TCCTCGAAACCTTTAATTGCATTCGTTCTGTGCGTTCGTTCCGGTACGAAGCTCTGTTGGTACAGGGGTGCTTTCAATAATTCAAATAACTCTGTTTTTCGTAGCCTGTGCCAAGCTCTCGGTCACTAAACACGTGCAAAAAAAGAGAGTGAGCAGTGAAATGGCGAAACGGCGGGAAAGAGAGAAGGGGGACTACACCGCCTCTCTCCAGTCCCCAAGCGGTTTTTGCGCAATTTTTCTCGATCCGCTTTCCCTACTATCTATACGTTTTCCGTAAATATAAATAGGATTTTATGACAATTTAGTGAGACGTAATATGTCCACCTCTAGCTAAGAAATAAAAATGTGTGAAGCATTCTAGTTGTTCAAAAATCTTTACGCTGGGGATTTTAAACAATCTTTCTGCAGTGTGTCAGTATTCTAGAATATGATGAAATGAACCCTTCCTAAACAGCAAATTAACTTTTCTAAACGCTCCCCCTCTTTGCTCTCTCAAGTTAACACTAAAAGAAATAATAAACAAGACCAAAGACGTACAGAAAAATAAAAAATACAATAATACAGTTTAAAATGCATGTATAGCACTAGCCACCGCGAATGAGATGGCGATCATTACAAGATGAAGCCGACCACCTTTAGTCCGTATTATAATCCCATGTAGTTTCCTATAACTTCTCCGAAGGGAAGGAAAACGTGGAAGAGGACCTTCTAGCATGCGTAAGGTGGGAAAGGGATGTCATCATTAAAAATTCAGTATTTCAGGAAACTGAAGAATAAATGAAGTAAACTAAACTATTTGATAACTGCATCTTTCTTTCTCTCTGTTTTCGTTTCATCCGCTCTTTTAGCCTTTTTCTCAATGCCATTAACTTCAATTTCACTTTTTTCTTTGTTTAATAACTGTGTTACTTTCCTCGTTCCCTTCTTTATGTTCTTTTATCTTATCTGAATTTTCTTCTGCATTCTTCTCCTTATTCGAAGCGCTGTCTTCTTCATCGTCTACTTTTTCTCCTTCATCATCTTCTTGACTATCTTCCCGAGAGATATCCGCAGTGGCAGCGCTATTGCGGTTTTCGATGGATCTGAAGTCATTGTCACCGCCAGGACTCATCAACTCATATAATTTGTCTACGTGTAATCCACAGTGCGTTGAAGGGTCTCTGAAATCACTTATCCTCTTGTAACTCTTACGCTTTGGATTCTGAGCTTTTGCGCATATATCGCACGTCCAAGGATAGTGTTTGTTAAAAGTAGCCCCGGTTAGGTATCCGTCGACCTTGTACAGCTTCCGCCAAACAAAATACTCCATATAAGCAGTGTCGTTTTTATCAAGATAAAGAAGATAGTCGGCTAACGTCTTTCTGGAATCGAAGTCGAAAACGTTGATATATGATCCTGGAATGGCCATCTCCGAGTAATTTGCGCCTCCTAAAACCACAGGGACAATCCCCAGTTCTAAGGGTCCCCCCCAGTATTTTTCAGTAACATAATCGACGCAATTACCATTCTCAAATGCCAACTGAAACTTGTAGCGCTTAAGGAGATTTTCACAATCCGGAGAGTCTTTTTCACATTCCTCGTCTTGCAAATGAGGCTGATACACGCTCTCACCGCAAGAACCAAAAATATCAACACGAATGTGATTCTTCAGTTCTCGGACAAACCAGTCGCGCAATTCACCACAATTACTTACTGTCCAAACCACAAGACGGTCCTTCTTATCTGGGTTAATTTGCCCGTAAGAAGATTTTTCACCTGGTTTGAGGGTAACATACGAACCGTAGGGTAGGAAGATATCTGCGTTCCTCTCGTAAGTCATTGTCCAGTTAAACATGTCTCGAAAAAAGTAGGTATCCCTTGCATTAGAAGGACTTTCCAGGACAAAATAGATCCAAATTTGTCCTTTAGGGCGGCGCCTGTTTAGTTCTTCCAACTCGAACGTATCTGGCATGTCCTGGCCGTGAAAAATAACAACATCGCTACGGGGAAACAAACGGTGTCTATATGTAAGCAAGCAGTTAGTTACTGGACAGGGCGCCCCTCTATAATGAGTGAATCTGTATGTATCACTGATGCCCTGCCACGGCTTATCTGTAAACAACGGCGTGTAAATTAATACACGCTTACCTGTCTTTACACCTCCTGGTTTAACCTGAAGTTTCGTCCGTATTATTCTATTGTCGATCCCGTTCACTTTACCAGAAAGCCGATTCGGTATGATGTTAACCTCATTCTGGTTCTGAGTAACACTTTCGGTTTTCAACCCGTTCGGTCCATTCAGCACTGTTGCATTTTTCTTTCTTGAAACCGGCTTGTTTCTTGTCCGAGGGCGCGCGTCAGGCTTAAAATGAATTAGTTCCTCAGTCTTAGACAGTCGAGCCGGTCTCTTATGATGCTTTTTAATTGAGGGAAGGTAATCGTTCAAAACAAACACTTCTGTGAAGAGTATCACAACCGCCAAAACGACGGTCGATAACAGAATTTTTCGTTTCATACTCATTTCTTTTCAATCAGATCTCGGTTGGCATCTATGATCACTGAAAGGAAAACAAAGATAAATTGATTAAGGCAAGCAAAATATAATCTGTGTGCAAACGACACCAACTACCTTTGCTTCACGCTAAAAAGTAACAAACGCCTGAAGTACCCAAAGATTTTCGATGGGTGAGACACTACCATTCTACTTTAAATAGCATTTGATGAAAAAACCACAGCAAAATTAGCTTCCAAGCAGACTTACGAGTGGGATAGCTGCCAATAACTAAACGAGACGGCTTGTAGGCCATGATAAGCGTTGCGATATCAACGCAGACTTAAAAATTTTGATGAAAAACGTTGAAAACCAGTTTTTTTTTCTTTTAGAGAAGGTGATCATTAAATCTTCAAGTCAATCTCTTCTATGAAGTAGATGTCCTTTAAAAATATGAGCGTGCAAGGGTTGCCACACGCAACAGAATGACATTCGACATTTCATGAAGAAGAAGCGTGGCCGAGTGGGCAACGCGCGCGTTGGACTCGCAATCCGGGGGTGCCGGATTCGAGTTCCTCTCTGGCCCCTTGCTGGATTTGTTCTCCGTTGTCCGGAGTTCAAAGCTTGTAAATAGTCAACTGGTTGCCTTCGGCCAACTGGTGTTTTAAATCCTGTTATGCTCTATTTGGGTTAATTGTTTCTAAATATTTGAGTGAAGTGCTTGTAAACTAGCCGGGTATAAGCTAAGTGCACTTTCCACTTTAAAACAACCCTTCAACCATTTTATGCCAACCAGACTACAAAACAACTGCTCCAACAAGAAGCTTGGATTTTTGCACAATAAGCGTATAAAAAGATTCAGGCGCAAAGCCTCCTTTTATCCGCTCACTCTAAAAGACAGGGGCACCCAACGACAACTTTCGGAAAAAAATCTGTTCGGAAGACGATTTGAGAACATTTGTTGTATTATTTCTTGCTTGCCTGCCTCTCCTAGGATTTTCGAACATCTAAAAAAAGGTAAAAATGCCCATTTTAAACGGATTTTTACCCTAAAAAGGTCACCTAGAATTTTCGGGAGCCTTTTTTCTGGCTGAAATTTTCGAACAGGTAAGTTTTGATTCCTATAATTTTCGGATCACTAGACTTTCAGCTAGGAAATCCGAACAGATGAAAAATTTATAGGGGATAAAAATATGCCCAAATTCACCGTTTAAATAATAAACACGTTTAACAATGCTATGTTTAAGCGGTTTTGAACTATATTCTCGTTGGGTGCCCCTGAAAAGACAAACAGGAGACTACGCTCGTGGGGTATCTCTCCACCGAGAGATTATGCAAACAAAAGATTTGAGAAAAAATAAACGCTTTGAGCTACAAAAGGTAAAGACGTCTCGCTTATTCGGCCAGGATGACCGGCCTGTGCCCACAATCTACCCAATACATTACAAACACAAACATTAAAAATAGTCCTCTGAGAGGACATGAGCTTACTGACAATGCCGGAATAGTCTGTACAAAAGCCATGCATGTGCTTGCAAAACAAAATCGATCTTCAAGGCAGTCACGTTGTGTACTGACTTCTAATCGGCATGTACACTTTTTGTCACTGTTTTTTACATGCTATAAGTGCTTTGTAGCACAAAACTACCATAATAAAATTACCAAAAGATGAAATTTTAAAAATGCCAGTTGTCTGGAAATTATGCAAATCTAGTCTAATTTCTGACATAGGTCTATATGTGTCAGATTTGTGACAGATTCATGTTTGCATTTTCCCACATTGTGATTTTCAATGTTTAATAATACCAACAATTAAAAAATGCTCATTACAAACTCAATCAACACATAAAGCTATTACGAATGGATAAAAATAGTAAAGGATTCGTGCAGTTCAGGAATGTTTCAAAGTTGCGTTCGGAGGTCCCGAAGTTGCTTCCGAATTTTGCTTCGGAATTAGTTCGAGATATCTTCGAGTTCATTTGCCATTTATACAGAAAGTTTGGGCCTTATGGTTCCTCTTTTTATGCTCAGCAAACTATGTGCTTTATCGGCCAGTTTGCTCTGCTATACAGTGAAACCTGTATTAAGCGAACACCCTCGGGGAATGCTGTAGTGTCCGCTTAATACAGTGTGTCCGCCTAATACAGGTTTCGATAGATAGCGTCATATGAGGAGTCCAATACCATTCAAATGAACAGTGGAAACGTTTAGAATAGTCCCAGAGACTATAACGAAATATGTTTGCATTAATTTCTTTATTAAAGATGATAGTACCATAAACATAGATTGCAAGTCAAATTTGAAGAACTCAGATGAGTGAAACAAGCTCTATAGAAACAAAACGAAATAAAAAACAACACTGTACAGTGAAACTAATCAAATAAGTTCGTCAAGTCACGTTTTTCAATGTAAAAATATTAAAATTTGTGGGTGGCAATCCTTCGCATTTCCGGTGTCTGGCATGTTGGGTGGAGGAATTTAATTACGTTATACAAGTGTTCGTTTAATACAGGTTGGCAACAATAGAAATGACCATTTTAGGTACCTTTTAGGTGTCCGCGTCCGCTTAATAAAGGTTTCAAGTAAATAAGGGAAATAAATTTGGGGACTTCGGCTACTGTCCGCTTAATACAGGTTTCACCGTAACTTGAAATTTCCTCTGTTAAACGAATTATTTTGATCTTTGCGGTGAGTACAGTAGCTTCATACTCAAACTTATTTGTGGGCAGTTATAAAAACATAGCGGCAAATTAATCCTTACAGAGAAGTGACGAAGCTCAAAACTAAATTACATAAGCTTCTTTTGTGCGCGATATTTCGATGGAAACACAAAAATTTCTGCCCACCCCACTTGAAAGGCGCTTAGAAGTAGTGGGAACAAAAAAAAAAACGCGCGAGAAGGAGACACAAGGCTCTCTCACCCCTCGCGTGTCTCCCTCGCACGCGCCTGTTCTCTCTTTCGCCCACTACAGTCCACTCCCGATAACTCGAACCCTCAAGGGAAATCGAAAAAAGGTTCGAGTTATCGGGAGTTCGAAGAAAATAGCCGAGAGTAAGGTAAAAAACAGTTTTTACTGCACAGTGAACATTTTAATCACATTCAATTGTAGAAATGTCAAGTGAAAATTAGAAGATACTTCTAGATTATAAATCAGAACGTAACGTAACAAAACATAGCCGTTTTGAGAAAAAAGCTGCTTCACCTTAGCCTGTGACAATCAACATCAGCCTCCACTAGTAAACTACAGTCGACTCCCGATAACTTGAACCTTCAAGGGAAATCGAAAAAAGGTTCGAGTTATCGGGAGTTCGAGTTATCGAGAGTTCGAGGAAAATAGCCGAGAGTATGTTAAAAAACAGTTTTTACTGCACAGTGAACATTTTAATCACATTTAATTGTAGAAATGTCAAGTGAAAATTAAAAGATACTTCTAGATTATAAAACAGAACGTAACGTAACAAAACATAGCCTAAATAGAACATACGTTTACAGTTTTGAGAAGAAAAGGTGCTTCACGTTAGCCTGTGACAATCAACATCAGCCTCCACTGGTAAACCATACTCCTACAACACGTCAATAGGAAATCCAAAATTCAATGTTTCGGACGCCCGTAGACGGCTTTTTTCCCGACTTTTTAAGGGCTCAAAACATGGTTCGAGTTATCGAGGGTAAAATTATGTAGAAAATGACCTGACGGGAAACGAAAATTGGTTGGAGTTAGCGGGAGTTCTAGTTATCGAGGGTTCGACTTACCGAGGATAAAATTACAGTGAATGTGTGACGGAAATCCAGGGGAAATCGATTTTGGTTCGAGTTAGCGAGGGTTCGAGTTATCGGGAGTCGACTGTACTTCCTAGCGCCGGCCACGCAGGCTACTCACTGTCGTTCTGCTGAAGCGCGAGATCGCAAAATAGTGAAACGTAACTTCTAATATACAGCTATTTCGAGAAAGGTTGTCGGAAAAATGTGCACGCGACAATCCCGAAACGTAACATGGGATATGATCAATACACTGTTTCTGACGACTGTACATGTCGAACCTACCTTTGTTGCTTTCCTTTAGCACTCGCAAACACATTTCCACGACCTTTCGTACCAATTCTTTCAAATTTCTTTAAAGAACAGTGAACTTAAAACCACCCACAATGCCTTTCGGGATTGTCGCGTGCGCTTTTTCCCACAACCTTTCTCGAAATAGCTGTATACATAAGCACAACACAAAGCATACCTAAAAGATCGTAATTAAACGATAAAAGAGATCCAGAAAATAACAATATAGACAATTACGAACATACAATTGAGTATTTTCAACCCTGAATGAAAGGAATACCAGCTGCGTCACTGACAAATTCATGTTGCCAGCCATGTTTCCATCACTTTAATATCGTCGACCGATTATGCGGTACCTTAGGTCTGGTTCAGACGCCGTACTTTTCATGTGCCGAACCTAACTGAATAAGTTCGACTTTGGAGCGACACTGCCGCGACATCTGATTCAGACGGCGTACCGTGTGTCGAACCTAAAGTTAAGTTCGACAAAAGTTCGACAGACTCTGTCGAACTGAACGCTTTTGCCGCACCAAACTAAAACTGCCGTACCAAATTGATTCAGACGCCGCTCTTTTGCCGTACTTAATTCATCAGGTAGGTTCGGCACATGAGTGGAGCGGCGTCTGAACCGGGCCACATATCAGTTTTACTTTAAAGGCTTGAAAAGCGAAGAATGACACATAAACAATTCGAAATTACTAGTTCTCTGGAAGGCTTTAAGACACAAACATTTGACTAGAGTTTTCATCTAATTGCCAACGAGCCATCCGAGCGAAGACGCTCGCATGGCGTGGCGGCAGCAGAGTAGAGTCGCGCAAGACTGGGTTGAGAGGCAGAAAAACAAACGAACCCCAAAGGACGTCTGCGGGGAGGCTAAAAAAAGGTGTAACCTAATGTAATGTAGATTCCCCTGAGACCAAGTGGTCAGTTGTGAACCAATCAAAAGGCAGTACCTGGCGCACGGGCTCAAGTTGAATAA